TCCGGTTGCTATAATACTAAAGTACTCGTACAGACAACCAATGCGCAGCAGCACTCGAGTACCGTACTGTACTGTACCTCATACATACTTGTACACCGCCCTCACACAGCGCAGAAATCCGCCGGGTTCAGCGGATGTATTCTCCGTGAGTGTCCAAACGACGTTATGCTAGATAAAGTTAACTAAAAGCCGGCCGCACCGTAACAACATGGCGGGCAGGTGAACTGGTAGACCACGGTAGACTATGTAGACTATTAGGAACAGTAAGTTAGTCAGGATCTAAAACACTTGGCCCCGTTGCGAATTTAACCACGATGTCCAAAGATCCAAAACTTACACACAGACCCCCGAGGGGAGGAAAAAGGATGTCGCAACAAATAAGCCCTGCGGGGTATTGCAGATTCTTTTTTTTTTTTTTTTTTTTATTTCATTCCTCCCTGAGCTTGGTCTGTTTTCGAAAGCTTACTTTGGGAAGAGAGGAAGAAGAAAAAAAATTTAAAAAAAATTGGTCAACACCCTCTCCGGTAACTGTACGAGTGCGGTACTGTACCTTATGGATATACCGGTACACTCTCGCGGGGCGATTTCCACACTGTAATCCGATATACGGTGGTTCACCGTATGATACGGCACCCCACGCTTATCGTGGCACGGAGAACTGAAAAATCTGTTCTACTCTGTGACTGTGCCCCCCCAACGGTACGGTACTCGTGTTCGAGCACTTCGAGTACCGTACGATACTCGTACCACATCCGGGAGCGGTACAGTTCGGTACGGTACTTTCTTTCTTTCCTTCCCCTCCCATCTCCTCCTCTGACCTCGTGTGTGAAGCGGTAGACTACGCATCCCATGATATGTGCCGCGAGACCACTTTCAGGTCAATGACGGTAGGTATTGTAAGTACAGTACCACGATAAGTAAGCGCAAGTGCCATCGGAATCGAACACGATTGGGAAAGGGCCCCCCGACATGTTCAAGTGGGTACTGTACGAGTGGAGTACGGTACGGTACATGACCCATTTGATGCCATATCATGTTTCGGTATTCCTTCACTCAGACGTGCTCAAGTACAAGTGCAAGTACCTGCGTGTGATAATAATAATAATAGTGGTACAAGAGCACTCGAACAGTGCCGGTATACTAGTAGTACCGGTGTTGCACGGTATGATACCGGTACGGTAGATTTGCCAAAGTCCTCAGAGCTCTCTGTTTAATTGCCAATTAGAGCTTGGCAAGCCACTAAACTCGTGGATTCACGGGATATTGTTCCTCAGTTCCGGTACTCGTACTGCCCCCCCGCCCCGGTGAACCTTATCATACAATCGAGCCCTGAAAAACAAATTAAATTCTTTTGGGGAGCTTTGGGCTCCCTCCCGAAACCCACTCGAGTATCATACAGTGCCGTACAATGCCGTACCGTACAAGTACCAGGTACTCTACAGTACTCATTTTGCCGGATTGAAGTCGCGCCTCTTTTTGTGCGTCACCACCCGAAAAGCGCGACCCCAACCCAGTGACGCGAGTATCTTTCTCGTACTTGTAGAAAGTCAGATTCGCGCTACGGCAGCCTGTCCAACTGCCTCTGGGTGCATGCTTACAGTAGAGCGTAGAGATTCGAGCGGGGGGGTTTCGTGCCTTCTCCTTGGCTTGGCTACATCTAGTTTAGCTCCAAAATCCGACCTTCGCGAGGAGACATGATAAATCAAAACCTTCAGCACAGCTGACGATAGCGATGACGGTGGTGGTGGAGGCGGAGAAGGATTTCAGAACATTCAAATCCAGACTCATGGATATCGTGTGGCGTTCAGCTGGCCTGAACCCCTCTCCACATGGTACTTGTACTCGTGGAGTACTGGTTTCGGTAGGTCTACATAAGCGAAAGTCGAGAACAACTACGGGATCGAGTACAGGATGAAGCACCCGAACGCAGGGATCAAAAATCTGTATGGCAAGTACGGAGTATCTGTGCACACTTCAGTGTCCACACTGAACCCAGACTCACGCGTCCCCGGAGTCCCATGCCGGATGGCTACGAAGGAAAAAGGAGGGAGGAAAAGAAGAAAAAAAAACAACCAAAGCCCAACAAATGCCCAATGTTGGCTCTGTTATCCCAATTCCGCACACTGGATGCGAGGGTTCCCTTCCAGAAAACCCGAGTGGGCGAGCGGTTCATCGGATGAAACAGAGAAATAGATAAGAAGTAAAAAAAAAAAAAAAAAGCGTGGGATGAGGCTGTGTGTGCAAGGGGACCGTGCCAATTGTTGGAAACGGAGAACCCAAGGAATTGGGCCTCGATTTGGGAGCCGTCTTATTGGTTCACCGGTGGGAGAGCTCCGTCCAGGAAACAGCTGTTTCTACTCTCTCTGCACTCTGGGATGACGTCTATCGTGGGGGAGGGAAGATTGACAAGGTAAGGGGGAGAGAGGGAAGGCAAGGGAAGTAAGGGTAAGGGGGGATCCCGGGTGGTTGAATGTGGGGTGTTGGGACTGGGCATCAGCGCTTCAGGATTCCCAACTTTCCATTCGGTTGTACTTGTGCTACTAGTACGAGTAGTGCGGTGCTGTATCATGCTGTCCCTCCCGTGCTTTGTTGAGATTTCCTTTTCAAAATTGGTTAAGCTCTCTGTACTCGAATACCGGTACTAGTACTCGAGGACACTTTTTGATACGGGTGAGAGAGTACGGTACTCGGGTCGTTGTTGGTCTCAAATGGAGCAATTTCACGCTTGCATGAACTACCGTACGAGTATTCAGGAACCGGAAACTTGGAAGCGAAACGTTCGAGTGCGGTACGGTTCTATTAACGGTACTGTACGGCACTGTCCGTGGGGGTAACCCAGCTTTCCAGTTAGAAAAGCAAAAAGCAAAAAAAGTAAAAGAAAAAGTTAGGCACAGGATTGGAAAAAAAGCAATCGGGTCCCAATGAAATGGGGACAGCCTCGTGAGAACAAATCAGACTTAAGGTGAAAGATCGGAAAAACTTCTCAAGAACCTTCTGAGGGGCCCCCCTTGCCGCCATGTCATCGATCATGTGGGTTTGCCTTGCAAGTACTCGAGTACATTTCCGAATTTCCCGCCATGTTTCTTACTCCGATATCTCGGAGCTGGGGCGTTCGGATGCCGATATCAGAGCACCGCGGCGACATCCTTCCCAGCTGAAAAATGGGGAAAAAAACGGGAGGCACTGGTAGGGCTTGGACAGTGTAGCACGGTCGAAAAGCCCCTGCTACGGCCCCGGGCATACTGTATCGCGCGAGTGCGAGCATGATACATTGCTGGAGGACTTTATCGTAGCCATGTATCGCCAATCTACAATACTATCACCTCGTCGTGCCCACGGAAATAAGATGGCTAGGGCAGCACCCTTACCCCATACGATATATGCCAGTTGTCAATCAATCTAATGTGCGAGTGCTCGAATAGAATCACCGCTGTTCCGGAGTTTAATTAAAGTTGAGGGATTTGGGAAGGGGATTGGGTGACGAACTGGAGCGGGCCACAGTGTCACGGAGTAATAGTATTGCACGGTACTCGAGGGCCGTACCAATGCGCTTTGGAAGAGCACAAGGGCTGCCCTTAGCTTTCCTCCCTGGAGTAGCTGGCGCACTGGTGTGTGAGAGAGAGAGATGGTTACCCAGATAGGTTGGTGAAGTCTACTTACTATAAGCTCGCTGAAAAGGGTTTGTCCTCTGGACGATGTCTGTTTCAGCTGCCGGCAAAAGGGTTAGAGTTGGATGAACTCCTGGAGAGGCTTGGCAGGGTTTACTGGGTACAGTGGAAGAGTCCTCCTCGCGCGGAAGAATTTGCAAAATGGTGAGCCAAGTTATATGGTAATGGTGCTCTGGTTGCACGTTCCGGTAATAGAACAAGGTGCGGGTCTGTCCAGCTGTGGGTGAGACTTTCCGCCGGCTTTGTCCTCCACACCAATGTGCGCACTCGTGCGGGGCGCGTTGCTGTCGCGCCTTTACTGGGGCAGCTGCGGCAGCACTCGGCGCCATTGGTCACCTTACGACCATACACTCGACCGGTATCCTCCCAGTAGACTTTTTTACTCCCACGAATCACCGCCCCCGTAACCACTACTCGGACTCCCGAGGAAGCTCCCCTCGTATGCTTTACTGGCGCACAAGCCTTCTAGTTATCGCTACAGCAGTGAGGACCGCTGGTGGAAAGCCACCTCTAAAGCTGTTGAGCAGGAAGAAGGGCAAGAAGGGATAAGGCGTTGTCCAGCCCAATCTGCCGTAGCTCGTGAGTGCGTAGAGGGCGGAGAAGTGGTCATACAGTACCAACGCCCAAGATTGTCTCTGACTGACGCTGCCGTCGAGGTGGCCGCTCCATACCGGTACTGTAATGTTGTTATCTTCCCGTGGTTCAGGATGGAAGTGCTCGACGACCAATAGCCATTCGAAGCCGCCAAGTACCGTACCGGTACTTGTATATCAGAGTTGAGGCTTCATAATACAATGAATTATAGGGGAGGAACGGGAGCAGCATTGGTAGAAATCTGTGTTCCGTTCGTAACCAACGCCGGCCCCCTACAACAGCCCTGGTCTCTCACCCCTTCCCCCAACCGTACTCGTAGATGGTGAGCTGCCCGAGAAGGCTGTGCGAATAGTGCCTATCAAAGTGTTCTTTGGCCACTCAACTGATTAGAGTTGGCATTACCGTAGGTCTTGGAATGGGACGGGATCACTTGCGAGCTTGATGAAGAGTTCGGTAGCATGATTCCACTTTTGGTTCGGCTCTGTCCTTTTTTTTTTTTTTTTTTTTCTCCTTCTCTTTTCCTCTTCCTCTTCCTCCACCTCTTCACTCGTACAGCCTTTCTACGGTATGTTGGAAGTTGTAGCCCCACGATTGATAGGCTGACGGGAGGAAGTGTGGTAAGGAACCCCCCACGCCGCCGCGACCCGTAGTTGTGGGATGGCACAATCTTTCCCTGGGAGCCACCTTCGCTCACACTCACGTACGGTACCGGTACTCGCACAAATTTACACATTCATGCTTTCACCCTTACGCTCACACTCGCTCACACACACCGTCGTTCGTTCCCCCTTGCTCCTCTTACCTCTGCTCCCGCCGTGCCCCACCATACTCGAGTACTCTTGCTGTACTCGCCGTACCTCGCGGCCACACGCACCCGCGTCCTAAAAGCAATGTCGCCGCTTTTATCCCTCGTTTGCCTACTCGCCTAGGGTTGTCTACCTGCCTACGGCGTTTTTTTGGTACTGATGTAGATATGACGATTCCTACGGATATAGATAGGAGTTTCCAGGAGAGGGGATACGGGGGGCAAAAGAAAGAGGGCGAAAAAATGGGACCGAGATGGAACTACTCGTATTGAAAGAAGAATTGAAGGAACGAAGGAGGGAAAAAAGAAAAGAGAATAAAAAAAAGCCACCGGCATTGGTAGTTGCTGCTATTTCTTACTGATCGCTTGCCCGTTCGGTGGTAGCTAATGCCCAGGTCCCTACGGCAGCGGCTCACGACTCCCTCCACTCACAATTTACCTTAATTTTCCCTTTCGCTGTCATCCCAGTGGGCTTCCCTTCCCCGTCATCGCTTCGTACAGTCCTCCGCTCGTGACATGAACTACATTACACACCAAACCTTGTCCCCTCACATACCGTATTGGCCGCCTTGGATGCTGCTTGTCCAGAGCCTCCAGCTGGTCTCGGCGGAGGGCCTCGTGAGATTGCCCAGTGGGGACTGGACTCTCCAAGCCGCTTCTCAATTGGTTCCTGCGGGAGTGTTTTGGCGTGGGAAATGGTGGTGGGGGGAAGGGAGGGGACGGAGTGTGTGAGTTATGGACACAGTACAATGGTAAGTACAGCTTTTGATTTACTGTAGCACGCCTCATCAAGGCTTACGCCAGACCTCATCATGCTTCCCTCCCTATCCAAGTGGCTTCCTGCTTAGGATGAGATCAGCTGTAGGTTCTCAGATACTACCGTATTTAAAGACTACCGGCTGCCCCCTTTGTTTGCCCCTCAGAACCACCAGCATCTTCAGTATCATCGTTTGCCCCACCAACCTCCCTTCTCCTGTTTTCTATTCAGCTATATATTCCTCTTTTGCATAGGCCTCACATATATCTAACCCCTCACCTCACTTCTGCCATTACCAAACGCTGCCTTGGCCCTACTGTGCATCTTGAGCATCCCTAAACTATCCACAACCATGTCTCCTCATACCAACGAACGTTCCGTACACAACGATAACGATGTCACTCTTTCATTAAGTGGTCTTGCTTTACATAGCGAAGCTGGCGCTCCCCATCTCGGCAGCAATTATCGTGCTTCGAACGGGAGAAAGAGCAAGAAGAGCATCCTTACGGACTCCTATCTGAAGACCCATAGTGGAAATTCATTTCACGAGACCGATCGTCCTCTCCGTCCCGGGATTTATGCCCCGACGCCTGCATTTTTCGATCCTGAAACCGAGGACCTTGACCTTCCCACGATTAGAAGTCATTCGGTACGCCTGGTGAAAGCCGGTATCGTTGGTCTTGTCACTCAAGGTTCAAATGGAGAAGCTGTCCATTTGAGCCAGTCCGAACGCCGGGCTGTCACCGCTGCTACGCGGGGAGCTCTGGATGATGCTGGCTTTGGCAACGTTCCGGTGATTGTCGGTTGTGGAGCCCAGTCCACCCGTGAGTCGATCGAGTTATGCCACGACGCAATGCTTTCCGGAGGTGATTATGCCATGGTACTTCCCCCGGCTTACTATCGAGCCTTGTACAACGGCGAGTCTCAATACGAGTTTTTCAGCGATATCGCCCGCGAGTCACCCATTCCCATTCTCATCTATAATTATCCCGGCGCCGTAGCGGGGATCGATCTCGACTCGGATACCATCACCAAGCTCTCGAAACATCCCAACATCGTTGGCTGCAAGCTCACCTGCGGCAACACCGGGAAGCTCGCTAGAGTCGCGAATGCCGCGCCAAGTGGTTTCATGACAATGGGTGGATCCTCGGATTTTACCTTACAATCCCTGATCGCGGGCGGCAAGGGCGTCATTGGCGGGCTTGCTAATATCGCTCCAAAAGCGTGTGCTGAGGTTTTCAACCTCTACGTTGAGGGAAGAAACGAAGAGGCTGAGAAGATGCAGGCGGTTGTCGCCCGCGGTGACTGGGGTGCGATTAAGGGGGGTGTAGTCGGGACCAAGAGCTGTCTGCAGACCTATTTCGGATATGGAGGTTTTGGAAGGAGGCCGCTCCCCCGACCAACCCCTGCTCAAGAAGCAGTCTACAAGGAGGATTTCGAAGAGTTGTTGCTTCTGGAGGAGTTTTTGGAGAACGGGTGCCGCGGTTCTGACATCCACTCTGACAGAATAAAGGAGTTTTCACAACTTGTCGAGCTCGAGCATATGCTTGTATAAGTTCCTTGCCCCTACCCCTCAAAGCCATCTTAGCAGACTTTTTTTCCCCTTCATATCATAACATTTTTTTTTGATTGTTTGTTGTTTATACCCCCTTGGGTTTCTTTATCGGATTGGGACTGGGAGTTGCATACGCCTGGGGCTGGGTATCTGGGCTGCTTCAAAACGTCACGGGGGGGGGGAAAGCCACTAGAGATCACAATTTGGAGTACTTTTTTTTTGGGTTTTCTTTATCGTTCAAGTCACGCCTTTTCTCCTTCTAGCGTTCGTTTTCTTTTTTAATGATTGCTCTTTTTTTCATATTATCTACTTATCACTTTTTCTTTTCTTTCGATGAGTAGATTGGTCTCGCGAGAAGAAAAGGGGGGAAACTGGAATGATTGATCATGTCATGATCCTTTCCTCCTTATAGTTATATTTACGGTATTATATCTGTGATTACTTGCATGTCGCAATCAACATTTCCCATTCCAGGCGTCGATTTCTTGACCGGTCATATCGCGATACCTGTCTCCGTTCTTCAGTTTTTGTAGGGCTTGAAACTCGAAACTCGAAACCCCACCCCTTCTTGCCCTATCGATAAGCCAGTCGAGTCACAGCGTCGGGGCAAAGTGTCGGGGGTCGGCCACGCAACCAAGCCTTGACAAGGCAGGCTCTTCACCTCTCTTCTCTTCCTCTCGCAGGTTTGACTGCCAAGTTGGGTATCATTGGCAGGCACCGGTATTCAGATGTCGTCCGTACGAGTACTCGAGTATATAATTGATATTCTATTACTCACGCCATCCATCCATCCATCCATCCATCCATCCATCCATGGTTGAGTCGAGTTGAGGACGAGACTAGACCGCGGCAAACCATCATATACTAAACGGGGATATCCTACCCGAAACATGACTTGCGCTCTTGCCAACAGTTGGTACTGTGCTATGCTATGCTATTACTGTTTTACCTTTTACTTCCCTCCCCCCTTTTTTTTCTTTTTTTTCTTCCTTTTGCTTACTTGGGATGAGATTAAATGTCCGTAAATGGTGACCTATGGCGTCACCGGTTCAGAATGCAATTTCAAGTAACCTCTTACGGACATTTAATCTCACTCCAAGTACGGGGTGTGGTATGGATGCGGAGGAGAAGTAAGAGGAGAATTGGGAGGAGGAGGAGGAGGAGGAGGGAGGGGTTTTTCTTGTTGCGGGGTCGCTCAATTGTAGATAGGATTATAATACGTACTGTGTGCATGTAGTATACCGCACAGGTGTGCACAGTATGATACTCTACTGTACGGGGCCGGGATACGGTATAAGCTGGCGCTTACGGCTGCCGGCTTGGTATAAGGTTTGGGAGGCGGCCCACGGTATGGCAGTACTAGGAGCGGTATGATATCCTTTTTTTTCCCTCTAATCATTATTAATATTACTATTCCGCTTGGCCTCCTGTACTGTGCGCTCACGCAATCGGCGTAATGTGCCCTGTGATATTCCTAACCTTGGTGCGAGGAACAATTTTTGTTTGGTCCAACTACTCCTACTACTGCGACTACTACTACTACTACTGCGATTATTAATATATATACACATATACTACAGCAGCTGGTATCACGAAGGACAGAGGAGGAGGATGGAATCCCGGTACAGCGCAGCGCTCCATAATACGAACCACCGTTACCTCTACCCCGGCACGCAAGCACGCGAGCGCCCTCACAGACATCACACACACCACACGCATACATGCGCACCCACCGGTGCTGTATAATATCTAGTCTAACTTTCAATGCACTCGAGATACTCGTACAGTACGTTCTGCACTGCCGTAATGTGGGCTATTCCAATCACGGCGCCCATAGCTTGGCTACCGGTATCGTGTCCGTTAGCGTAAGTTAATCCACACTTCACCTCGTTCGCTCGTTACACCGGCATGAAACGAATCGGGCCTTGTATTTTTCTTTTTCTTTTTCTTGAGTAGTGGGTGGGTGGGTGGGGGGGGAATGAGGAAAGAAGGGAGGGAGGGAGGGAGGGATTTCCCCACAGATTCTTATTGGAAGCCCTATGCCTGGTTCGCGGTTGGCCAGTTTGCCTTTTTTTCTCCTCCGGTTTTTGAGAAGATGGTAGGGATGGCAGGGATGGCGTGGAGAGGACCCCGTGTTGCGGGTTTTTGCTTTGAGGTTGGACGAGAAGGTTGGATCATGGGTTGTGGAAGGAGTTTGTGGATATGTGGGTACACATGCCTTTCTTTCCCCCCCTTTCTCTCTTTCTTTCCTTTTTTTTAATCTCTAGCTTTGGGTTTATTCATTCGAAATGTGCTCGTACTGTACCTTTTGGTGGGGTCCCGGTGGCGATGTGATGTGAGATGCTGTGTTGGGGATAGGATCGTGTGCTTGAGAGTTTGGATGGATGGATGGATGGGGTGGATGGATGAGATTGGCGAATACGATCCGCTTCAGGGTATGCTACCGGTGGTTTGCACTTTCTGATGTTTGAGGAGATGTGGGAATTGTATGAGTGTATGTATGGTATATCTGCTCTGTATTGGTTGAGGATCGCATTGGCGTACTTTCTTGTGATTGGCAATGTTGACTTCTCCATATAGGTTGTGCCCCCGAGAGAGAGGGATGGATTGAGAGAGGAGTGATAGGTAAGTCAAGTTGTCTTTCATTTTTTTTTTTTTTTTTCATATGACTTGTGGAAGGATATCATAACTTGGACAAATCTTCATGTGCTGTACTCCTAGGACTCCGCCGTCGTAACGTGTCTTTAGCCAAAAGCCGTGAGGTGAGATGTATTTCACGGATGGTGTGTGGGCTTGTTTCCCTTTTCGCATGATGGTCGCCCACCGGTGAGGAACTCTCTTTGTTTTGTGTGGTGTGGTGGTGTGGTACTGTGCTTGTACTGTATCGTAGCGCAAACTATTCGTATCATACTGAACTGTCTTGTGGTATGATAGGATAGTCGACTGCGGTGGCTGTCCTCTCCCCTGCCCCACAATCCGCCTCCTTGGCGTTGGCAAGCCTTTGAATCACGCCTGGGCTGGACTTTTATTCCTAAACCAAATGCATACGGCGCTTTTCAAAAAGAAAGCAAGAATCCCTCGAGCTCTCCAGCTTATCTTTCTGAAGTAAGGCTTACAACGGGATCTCCTACCGGTACTTCGAGGTGAAGTACTCGAGCAGAGCGGGCTAGCTGTGGATCATGGAGATGTGGCCTGAACCCGGGACCGACCCCCCCCCCTCCCCAACCAATTATACTACGCTACCGGTGCCATGGGGGCAGATGGGAAGCTTTCTATCGTTCAGAACATACCGGTAGTCCTACAAGTTCACGTGAAGTTGCTTTTTTTCCCGAGCGCTTTGGTTCAGTGCTGTGCCGGTATTTCCATTTGTTCTTTTTTAATATAACCTTCTTTTCCTGTCCCCGGAGAGGGATATAGTGGTGGGAGATTGGGGGATTTGCGAAAAAGTTACTCGAGAACCGCGTCAGGTCTTTTGGGGGATATGCCCTCCATTCGGCTCACCGCCTCGCTTTGATTTTCTCTATCGGCGACTGTACTTGGCACGGCACGTATGATGTGTACATAAAATTTACTCGTGAATACCCCTATGTATACGATGGATGTACCGGCATTGGACTGTGCGGGCTACAGCACCCTATGGTAGATGTGCGTGCAAGTACTCGTACAGAACTTGAGTTGTGGAGCGAGAGATACTTACACACTCGAACGGATTCGAGGAGAGCCCCGGTTAACTATATTTAGATGAGAATGCACACGATGGTATACGAAGGGTTGTTCGTGGTCAAGTGAGACTATTAATACCCACTGTGTTACACTCTACGCTCTATAGCACACCGCACGGCTTCGTTATTCTGTATTGCTCTCGTGCATTTGTTAGCAGCAGTTTTGGCAGATGAGGTTGAAGCAAAATTAAATGCAAAACGTTTCTTTTGGGCACTGACTTACCCTGTCTCCCCCGCTCAACGTGTCTTGGCGGTGGGCAACCGGAATTTCCATTTTCCGGAAAACGCGTCGTTGCTACTGAACTGTGAGGGGGGCGGGGGGGGGATTGTGAACTGCTATGATACCATCATCATCACCACCGACCGGTACGATACCATACCCCCCCCCCCCCACCGTGCTCTCTCATCAATGGATTGTATGGATGTGCGCACACCATCGAGATCTCTGGGGCATGGATAAAAACGGCCTTCCGCAGGAAGTTGGGGGAAAGCAGAGGTGAAAAAAAAACACCGCATGTGCTCGTGTGTTCGTTAACCTCGCTTGATGATGGGCGGAAGAGGGGGATTTAACCCCCACGCTAGTCTTATGCGGTCATCTCACGGGTTCTCACTCGCGCTGGGGATTCATCCACCCTGCCACCCACCCATCCATCCATCCGTCCATTCATCCGTCCATGGGGGAGAAAATGTCAGTTTGAGCAGACTCCGTGGCTCTCCCCGAATCAGAGACAGAGAAAAGGGGGGGGGTGCCTTCCTTGTCCCACACATGCGAAGTGGAACATCCGTTCGTTGCACTTGTGTCTCTACTCTTTTTTTTTATTTCTTGTTTTTGTCCTTTCCTGTTGCTTTGCTTTAATTTGCGTTACTGCTGCCATGTTGCTATGCGGGTGTGGGGTTATGTGCTGCGTGCTCTGCTCGTGTCGTGCGTTTCACATCAACTGTTTACTCCCCACGACCGGAAAGAGTGCTAGTGTCTTGAGAGATCGGTCGATGGAGAGCTGGGGACCGGGCTCAATCAATCACTCAATCAATCAGTCAATAAGTCAGTCAATCAATGAAAGGCGGTGTCGGTCAGGTCGGTTCGTGGCATAGGTTTGCAGTTGCCTTGCTCTCTCCTCGCCATTGTGGGGGTCCTCTTGCATAGTCACGAGACGTCACTGCGGTTTCTGTTACCCCTCCTGTCCTCCAGGGTTGTTTCCATGGTTAGGCTTGTGATGAGATCTCCACTCTGGTTATTGTTTCCGCTCGGTTTTCTCCGGATAGTGGCGGGGGTGGGGTCATTGAGTACGTGTGTTGGAAAAGGCACAGCATATATCATTGGCTTTCGGGATGCATGGTTTTCCGGGGGTGCGAGTGGGTGGGACTATGTGCAGGTTCTCCAATGAATTGCTAACTTGGGTTATGGTGAGGTAGTTTGAGCCCTGCTCTAGCCGTTTAGTTTGAATATCTGGATGGCCTTTTTTCTGTTTGTATGGAGTGGTTTGTTGGGGGGTTTTTTACTCCGGGCGGTCGATTGCCTACGCATCCCACTCAGGATTGCTAACTTACCCCTCGACCAACTGTTCTTTTTTCGTAAACATCTTCACTGCAATATATCCAATTTCCATTCGTAGGGTCCGGAAATTCTCAGCATGGCCCTTTCTGTAACCACCACCGAGCTATAAGAGTTCTCTCTGGGATGGCTCTGAATTGCT